TGGAGAAGAAAAGTTCCATAGATCCACAGGCGAGCCTTAGCTAAAGGCCAAAGGTGTTATAAAGGATGGTCACCTGTCTAAGGAGGCTTTGCTTCCAGGCCTCATACAGTCTGTAATAATCCCACAGAGACACACCAATACCATGCACCCCTTAAAATGAAGGGCTGGAGGAACAAACAAGAGAATTGATAATGATTCAGACCCTCACAGAAATCCCAACCCACAAAGACCTGTTGACTAGGAACAGAACAATATAACGTTGTTCTACCAAACCTGGGAGGATTTCTAAAAATCCAGATTTATGAGACAAAAACCCTTGTTTCTAAAGGTCTAAAAATATTCCCAGTGCTTTCTCAACTACAGAGACTGCCTCATTTCCTGCAAATTGTTTTTCTAATTCTGTTCAAGAATATCAACTTCATTAGTACTCTAAAAACTTGATCCTGTGTGAGGGTTTGATGAGATCTCTGTGGGATGGGAAGAAATAAAGAGATCACAGCAGCTACTGTTTTACAATGGCCTTACGGTGGGGCTATCAATTGCTAGTGAGCACGCCCTGCTGCAGAGAAATGGGATTTTAAAAACAGTAAATGTCACTTTAAACTGGAAGATGTTTGCTCAGATAAAAACTTGACTTACTGGGGTTAGTGGCTGGGTGGTGGTATGTTTTTAACAAACATCAAACCAAGAATCATCTGATTAGACTGATTTTGTATTTCAGATATAAGTCATTTAAAAGAAAGAATTCAATAAAGGTATTTGCTATCAATGTAAAATCTCACATGTCAGGCCGTAAGTACTTTATTTAGGAAAAAACAAAAAACAAAAAACTCCATTCCATATACCTCAGGAGTAAACATTCTTTCAGTCTCTTGGGTACATACTCTTAAAGACTTTATTTTTTGTAAGGCTTTCTTCCTTCACACGAAAGGATATTTTTAGACCTTTTGGCAAGTTTGATAGTAACATGTTGAATGAGTATGCTGCTACATGCTATTTTAAACATCTGCCAAAGGAAGCTGGAAGAACACTGAAGTATTATAAACAACTATAATTTTATGAGAGAAAGAAAGGCTCAGAAAAATAGGAAAGAAAATCAACAAAATATGGTAAAATTACAATCACTTCTTTGCTTTAGTTTATTATAGCTGTAATTATACCACATCATCTTCAAAAGGGAAATGGTGTCGCAAGAAGACTGTTTTAATTAGGAAAGTGTTTCAAATGTTTTAGGTGAAGGACTTTGCCTCGTTGGTGATTTTGTTTAATAGCTTAAGGGAAGGGACTGTTTTATACAAAGAAGCAATAACAAAAGCAAAATACACAGAGTTGACTTAAAGCACACAGCCTTTAGACTTATCGGGTTACACCATACTTTCCAGAGAGGATCTCATCTGCACAGTGAGAGTGACCCTGAATAACTCCCAAGTGCCTTGTCCACCCTGACAGACAGTAACTCTACTACCAGTACCTTCCTTTTCTTGATGGGCACTATTGAGTCACATATGAAATGTTTGAGACTGACTGCCCCTCTTGAAAAAATAAATAAATAAATAAGTGTAGGACATAATAACCCGTGTATATGGGTGAACTAAAAGCCGAAGTGCAGTAAATTAGAGCAGTACCCACATTTAAGCAAGTATGGCTCATACAGGTACTTCACACAAAAGGAATGTCTCAGATAATGGCCATCACACCGCTCTATTAGAAAGTGAGAAAACAGAAATGTTCTAAAGGCTTTTTTCATGGTTCAATAGCCTCAGACAGCAAGGCGGTTCAGGGTCTCCAACATTTCATTTTCAAAGAGCTACAACCCACACAGTGACTAAGTTGTTAACAAGACCTGTGCTAGTTACAGGGTTTCACTGTAACTTCTACTTCAATGATGCATGCTGGTTATAGTGATGGTGGTTTCAGAACTATAATTGCCTTTTTTTAGCCCTTACTAAGAGTGACCTCCTCTACATCATGTATTCTAATTGTCAAGTAATATGAATAACCTTACTACCAATGTCTAACAATTAAAAAATACAAAATTGTTTCTAGTAGTTGACAGCACGCATCCATCTCTCCTAATACTTATACTGCAAATAGAGCAAAAAGAAGGAGGAGGAGGAGGAGGAGGAGGAGGAGGAGGAGGAGGAGGAAAGAAAACAAAAATGGAGTGAATTTACTTCCAATCCAAATTTTTTCATACTCCAGTTGTGTGATATCACAGATTTAAAATAAAAATGGCTGTGGCCTTTGGATTTGTCATCTCTTCAAATCAGGATTTTGCTGCGCAACCCCAGAGTACACCAGCACACTGTGCTCCAGAGAAGACTCACAAAACACAGAGGCACACTATGGCCCTGTAATGCTTCACCTTGCCAGGTCCCATGTCTTCATTTTGTGTTTCAGAGTTTTTAAAAACAGAGCCTTGTACCATGATGATTTCTAAACTCGTGATGTGTTTGTGAAGCTTTGGCACTTTTTCAGACTTGAACTTGGTGAGCTTAGAAAACAGAATGAGAGGTGGTGAGTGTGCCTGCCCTTGACATCACCACAGCCATGCCCTTTCCCATTAAACACCCGGTTTAGGCTCAGTGCCTCAGCTGAATTCTCCTAGAAAGTCTGACCACTGGAGTGTGTGTCTCCCTCCGTGGTAGAAGCTCACAGTGGAAATTCCTTACTAAGGCAGGTTTTTTTTTTTTTCTTCCCCTTCACCACTTTCCCATTTATGACTCAGTTTGCAGTTCAGAAGGCCGTTGCTTAGAGCCTGAATGGTTTTGAAAAAGAACTCGAATATTAGGATCAAAGCACTTATAAAATGGAAAACAGATCCCCTCTTTGGGTGTTGAGCAACTTCCCCCAAATCCATTAAAGAATCCTCTGTGGAATTGAAATGTGTAAGGTGCTACCTCTCTATAAATAGTCTCGTCTCAGGCTTTGTGAATCATGGTTGCTGACATAAAATCAACAGATTAACTGTTTGGCTTTGTTAATAACAATGATGGCACAACTATCATTTTCCCAAAAGGCTCTTCCACACACCACACCACCCCATTCTTCTGAGCTAAGTAGGCTTTGCAACAATCCGAAGTCTTTGATGTACAAAGTCACTCCTGGTGTTCTTACACTACAAATGCTTTATACTAGGGATCCCACCATCTTTCCCCTAGGTTATCATGTGACACTTGAGCTAAAGGAAGTCACCAGCAGGATTCTCAGGATGAGTACCGAGTGTGTGAACAAGAGAGGCAGATTAAATAAGCATTAAGGGAAGTAAGCCCAGAGAATCCCCTAATTTATAATAAGACATTAAGGAAATGGCCTCAGGAAAGAATGCACAATCCTTCCTTCCCAAGCAAAAGACTGAAACAATGTAAACTACTGCTCATCTAGAAATCAACTTCCACAAATATAAGTGAGTTTATCTCATCCCTTCACAGTTATGACTAACTTATTACTTTTATTATCTTGTTAGCTGAGAAGGCTGTGTAGAATCGCCTCATAAATATCACATAAGTATCCTAACCACAGTGCAGCTTCCACTCCAGAGACTGAGTATGTGAATCACATTGGGTTCAGAGCCTTAAAGTCCCTTGTACACCACATACACCCGGAGAAAGGAAGGTCCCAAAGGAACCCTATACAACAAAAATGATCTATGCTGTCCTTTTAAATGAAATATTCAATATGCAGAGATTTTCTCTACAGTCTTCACTCTACCAAACCTACAGGCCATATTGACCGGATGGATGTAAGAAGGAAAGACTTCGGCAGCTGCTAAGATGGAACTGTCACCAATTTTGTTTACTCTTGAAATCTACTGCTTTACTATGGCCATCAGAGAGTGTGAAAATGTGACACATATGGAGTGACAAATGTTACGAAAAGTCAATGCAAGCTAAAGTACCCACTCTGCCAAAGCTTACTCTCAAAATCTTGACTTATTCAGAGCCCCACTTTGAATTTAATCTACACACTTCTTTTGCTGAACTCAAGAGAATGTGGGAGTCGGAGTTGCTAACAGGGTAAGGTAGCCAACTCATCACCATCACCGGACAGAATCCCTGTTCAGACCATCCTTCCTGCAGCTATCAGCACTGATTCTACGGCCACACCCAAAATCTTGAGGAAAACACCCACTGTGGAACTTTGCTTTTGGTCTCTCAAGGTGTAACATTGTCCCGGCATAGGGTGGGACTGGTCTCCTAGAAACTTAAGGTATTCAGTTTTCCCCCGGTAAATAGAGGCATATGAGGAACCATTTGGACCCACGGCTGCCGAAGCAGAGTAAGCTTCAGAAAGGTCGTGCCATAGAAGTATCTGTGAAGTCAACTTTTCTTTCCGCTTCCTGGGGCCAAACTGTAGATATCACAAAAGTGTTAGTGTGCACAGAATGGTAATAGGAAAGAAAGTTTATAAGAATAGCCTGTGGTCACTATCAACTGGTTGGAAAGGGGCCCTATTAGAAAGAACCACGTGAGCACGTGAGAAAATGGAAAATCAGGAAACTGGGATGTTTTGAAAGGCAAAATACCATGTGCTTGTTGAAGGCAGAGAAAATCAAAATAATATTAAGTTCATCGGGTATTCATTATAATTCATAATCCTCTGCCGCGTGTAGTTATGAGGAATATAAAGAACTTTATTCATCTTCAAGTTCTCCATATGATGTAGATGGGTGGAGGGGTAGAACCATAGGCGACAAATAAACAAATAAATGAATAAACAAACAAACCAGTCACTGCCCTCCTGGACACTACAAGATTTCGGAACCTAGGTGCATCTACACAAGTGGCCCTCACACTAGTCAAACTGTACTGATGAAAAGCAGAAAACGTTTTGCCGAATATGGGACAAGCTATTAACTGACACAGGGATGTTGAAAGAGGGTGGGCCAGCATGGAAGAAAGGAATTTTGATTCCCTTCCATGAGCCATTCCCAGAGGCTTTTAAGAAAGGGGATGAGGGTGTCAGCCTCTGGGGAGGCCACTGTTCCAGCCACTACTGACCTGGTCTCCGCCTCACCGGCCTCTTGCGGCCGCTGCAGAAGCGCACTTTGCTGAACACCCCGAGGACATGCCTTTCGCACAGGGAGCGCCCGTCTTTGCTGGGGCTGGAGCGGCGTTTGGAGGCCGACACCCGGTCGCTGTTGGACTCCCTCGCCTGCCTCTTCTGCCGGATCAGGGAGCTGGCTATTGCTGCAGCCATAGCTGCTCAGCGTGGGCCCGAGGCCCCTGGCTCCACTGAGCCCTCGGGTTCCTGCTCCGCTGGGATGAGGGAAGGACCTCAGGGGCCTGGAGGGAGAGTGCAGGCGCGGGGAGGCAGTGCTAATATTTGAGGAGGTTGCAGTATCGAAAACCTGGAGCCCACAAGATTAGTCAGAGTCTGGGCAGTGGCAACAAAACGTGTGAAAATCCAGATGTAAACTTCCCCAACCACTGGCGGCGGGGGCGGGGCGGTCCCAGGCCTTCTCGCGAAGTAGATGTTTGTACCCCAAACTTGCACCCCCAAAGCGATCCACGTCCAAAGGGCAGTGAGGAGTTTGGTCACACTGCCTTCAGGGTACCAAGTGGAAAGGGGGAAAAGATGTCCAAAATAACAAGTCGTGCCCCGGTTGGAGAGGCGCAAGCGTTGTAAGGTGTTCAAAGTATGCCTACACATACATACATAGAAAACCCGTTTACAAGGCAGAGTCTGGACCGAGGCGACAAGCGTGCCCCCGGCTTAAGAAAAAGAAAAGAAAATACTGGAAAGTGAATAAAACCTTCCTTTAGAAAACGAGCCACCAACCGCGACAGAGAAGAGAGGAAGGCAGCAATTCAACTCCCTGTGGCCCGCGGTTCTGGAGATTAGGAGGTCCGTCCCAGCTGGGTGAGGTCTACGGAATGCATCGCACCGGCTGCGGTTCTCCAGGGGCCGGCCTCCCCACTTCTGGAATTCCAAGAGGCGAGAAGTGGGAGCGGTTAGCTAGACTCGGGTAGGGGCGCGGGGCGGGGGCAGCTGTTTCCAGCTGCGGCGAGTGCACCTCTCCTCCAGCAGCACTGCAAAGAAAGCGGGAGACGAAGGAGGGGGAGGACTAGCGGGAGGGAGGGAGATGCTGGAGGGCCAAGCACCCTGGGGATCCGCGGGGTCCCGAGAGCGGGCGCTCTCGCTCTCTCTGCCTGCGTTCCGGCACGAGACGGGCACAGTTGGTGATTATTTAGGGAATCCTAAATCTGGAATGACTCAGTAGTTTAGAGAAGCCCCTCCAAAGGCAGAGCTGCCCCA